GTAATCAAAATGAATGCTCTCCTGGTCCAGCATGTTTGCGAAGGGGAGCTGGCGTGGCGACGAGGAGGGTAGAGGAGACAAAACAAGTGGGCAAATGTGGTGATTGACTTTGCCCACCTCTACGCTCTTTGGACAGCTTTTGTGGACACAATGGCAGCGAGTAAACACAGAAATGTCATTATCCACAGCCAACTGTGTTGTCGGTAGAACTAGCTTTCCCTGTTTCCGCCTGCATTCAAATCGTATTCGCGCATCGAGGATGCTGCATAATGGCGACGAGTTCGACGGAAGCCTTGTACGTCGTTGGTTCATTTGTCCTCGACGAAGTGAAGGAAAGTCGTTCGAATGACCGCAAATGCAGATTCATCGTCGGCCCGAACTTCACATTCGCCTTTTTCACCCTCGACTAGAGTCCGGCCCGGACTCGACCCGGCGAAAATACGATCCGCGATCCGCGATCCGCGATCCGAAATGCCACATTGTGGCTGGAGCAAAGGTCACGTGAATAGGAGCACCTACTCTTTTTCACTTCACTCATTCTCACGCGTCAGAAGCCTATCTCTTCCCATTTCAGCCACACTGCCACGTCTCTCCTCATCACCACCGACGCGAGTCGGCACATGCGCCAGTCAAGGCAAGCCAGGCCTGGCCAAAGTCACATTCAACAATTGTTAACGGTTTCACTTACTACTCATACCGAACCCAAGTAGCGCCCACGAGTGCAATGGCAAAAACGTGATTGCTTGATCGACAAGCTCACAATAAAATGGGATTCGGCGGATGCCCCGTCAACAAACGGGTCAACCTCTGCCAGCCTAACCCGGACTCGACTGCATTCTACTTTCGTCAGCCCCTCGAGGGGATTCGAGCTCGATTCGTGAGTGTCATGACGACCGTTACTCCTCAACCAAGGCCGAATTGCATGTTTACACTGGAATTGTCGATTGAGCAAATATGTGTTGACTAGAGCGAATTTATGCGATCTCTCATCTTCGATGTGACCTATTTCCGAGAACAACATCGGAAATTGCAGATTAGGAATTAGGCCAACGTGATTTAGGGTGATTTTAGGGCAACAATCAGAAAAGTGGGCCAAAGGATGTCAGTACCGTTCGCTTGGCATTTATTTACAAAAGCTTCCCCCATCCGAACTTACCTGCAGCTGTGACCTCTTTCAGGTCTTGTCTGCGCCCTTAACGGGACTCGAAACCAAGTTGTCTGTATTCATTCCACTCCACTAGCACGGACGCTTGTGTGTCGTTGCGGCAAGTGTTTATCTATCATTACTTATATTCATTATGAGTAGCTTATGAGAGTATCGGTACTTGTTATTCCCTCTCACTCACTTCTGACTAAGAAAGACCACCAGAAAGTCGTCAATTTTAACGTCGTGTGGAAATGGTGGAATAAAATTAATGCACAAACGTCCCATCCTCAGAATAGACTTTGGGTGAGCAACCAAATCACATGACTTTCCATTTTTACGGAAATGTTGGTTGGAGGTAATTGGTGATGTGGTCTCACCGGAAGCCGAAAGAGGATTGCAACGTAAGAAAGACTGTTGTTTTCGCTCATCGTCCTGAAACTCCGATCAACCAGCGCTAAACTTTTATCTGTACTACCGTGATAGACATCACTATCATCATCATCATCATCGATAGGCTTAAGGAAAGCATTGCAAAAGTGTACCCACTAATTAGAAGTAAAACTAGACTTAGTCAGATATTTTCGAAGGCTCTTAGATCGGAAGACCTCCTCAAGCTTCAAAGAATAGCGGATAGTTTGCATGTCACCGTTTTTTCGACAGGGTTTAAGGACACCTTATGAGAAATGATTACATTTGGGCATAAGAATCAGCTCAAACAGACTGTCCATATCTGCTGAAATGAAAGAGAGGAAAGCCGTTGTCAAAAAGTGCTAAATCTGTCCAAAACTTCATTTCACATTTCTGCCAAGAAGTCCCTATCAAAGAGCTTAACTTTGTCCTTCTTACAAATGGTAAGGACTTCAAGGAGGAAAGTTGAGTAGGGTTGATAAGTTTAACGAATAGTTTCCCAGAGGATACCACGAGTAACATTGAAATACGAGTTGTCTCTTTGCTTGATGGCCATATAGAAACAGCAGATGAGGAACAGTAGTAGTAGTTATGAATAGGACTGATTAGGTGGAGAAAATGTTAGAGGCATTAGATGATAATACAACAAATGAAAACATGACATGTTTTCACCCAATTTTGCTCAAGTTAATAAAGGACTGGTAGTAGAATTTTCCCACAATGGCATGAGTAGAGCTGACGTTTCCATTCAATTTCACATGGCCTTGCTATTACAAAAGTTGTTCTTATCCCGACCGATGTGAGGTCGAAACTGCAGTCCACTGGTTCCTGGATGAGAACCACTTTTGGGAAAGCAAGGCCATGTGAAATTAAATGAAAACGTCTGCTACACACATATCATTGTGGAAAGATTCTACTGTCAGCCCTTCATCACCTTAAACGAAATTGGGGGAATACATTCGATATTACTGATTTAGTGGTAGTCTCGAAACTAAACAAAAAATACGAAATAAAAACAAATTTCGTAAATATGTAGATTTTTTCCTGCAATGTTATGATTAGATATTACAATTTCACAGCTGAGTTATTAGTAGTGTAATAGTAGTAGTATATAAGTAAATAATTTTAACTGTAGTCCGCTTTAACACGGAAAAACAACTTTTGTTAAAGCAAGGCTGTGTGAAATTGAATGGAAAAGTCACCTCTGCTCAGAGCATTGTGGGAAAATTCAACTACCAGTCCTTCATCACCTTAAACGAAATTGGGTGAATTCATCTCATACTACTGCTTTACTGATAGTCACGAAAACAATACTTAATTTGAAAAATAAGATGAGAGAGTTTACAGAGATTGACAAAACAACAAACATGCCGAATGACAGGAGCTAGTGTATGAAAATGATTAGGGACTAGTTATGGCTGTTGGATAGGCTTAAGGAGAGGGAGAGAGAGTGTGAAGGGGGGAAGGAAGAGGCATTGAGCAAGAGAAGGAGGCTAAAATATCTTCAATTGCCGTTGGCAACTGGAGACTACTACATGCTCGCGATAGACAACATCAAGTACCCCAAACATGAGTCAGCATTACATGATCGTGGACCAGTTTGTGTGTTTGTGTCAACCGAATCCGCTTCCGGTTCATAAACTAACCTGCCTCATTTGCAAGAATGTGGGAATAGCCAACCAAATCGTAAAGATCGCAAGGTTTGTTGTATGAAAAAGCGACTAGGGTTGCAGCCGAACCTGAACCTTTTCTCTTGGTTTTTGTACATCTATGCTCTATTTCTTAAAATGTGATTTCTTGTTCTGATGATGTCTGCCGAGGCAGTATAGACGAAAGCTTAGCGCAGGTTGATGAGGGTCGCAGGGCAGCAAGCCGATGACTTGTTCGCACAATACAACAGTCCTCCCTACGCGGCAATCTTCTGTCGGTTTCTGGTGAGACCGCATCACGAATTCCTTCAAATCAACTCTTCCTTCGAAATAGAAAGTCATGTCACAATAAATATTACCGAGGAATTCTTCGAAAATCAGTTATTCCTTATACACTTGTTGTTTGTTGTTGACTTTTCTACTATTCCTAAAGAAATAGTTTCGGGTAAAGGGGATCCGCTGAATTCAATCTCTAAAGAAGACGCAGGCGGATTCCTCCGGTTGAAGCATCCCTTAAGGCTTCGGGGAAAGTTGTCATTTATTTAAGCTGTTAAACATGCTTACAACTACGTTGGGCAAACACTTAAAAAAATCGCTGGCCTATCTCTAATTGGTGTATATAAATTTGATCCATAACTCTTTCATCATGTTTTTATTTGAAGCAAAAGTGAGCTTAATAAGTTCACTACAAAAGGCTCATCGAAAATAACTTCGTTAATACTAAGCAAGTATGATACAAACTCTTATCAGCTTCCTGACTCTACAAAAACCAAAAGGCCAATTTCAATAAAAGTTATTAATATGTTATTTTTTGATCTCTATTTATTTTTCTTTATGCGCACCAAGCTTAATCTACTTACACTACTAAGTGTAAGTAGTATAGAATGATTTCATCAAAATATTCCTCTAAGAAATTGTTGCTAAATTTCATAAAGTGCTTGGAACCAAGAATAGGATTCTCAGAACTCTCTCTCGGCAGCTTGATCAAGCAGATTTTGTTAAACTAAAAGACCTGATGGACGAATAAGTAAAGAGGATGTAAGAAGTACCGAGATGTCTTAATCTTGGAAATTAAGGAAATCGGACATTCGCATCAAATCAAGGGACATGGGCAACAGTAAGATGAGTGTGCCACTATATATTCTGCATATAAGTACTATACTACACTAGACTAACCTATGCTTTACTATAATATACCCCCATAATGTTGCAAATTTATCCACCTGACCCTTTAATGATGAAGTTTTGGGGGGAACTATTGTGTGGACATATTGGTTAAATTAATTACTTTAACAAACAGACTTTGCCAAATGATCCCATTGAGCCTAATGCGAGCAGACTACAAAAGAGATGAAAACCGAATTCACTTCTTCAAGAGGAGCCTTGGACACCTACAGTTTACCCTCTTCTAACGGTAACCAAGGATCGGAGTATCTTTAAGAATGAATGTCGACTGAAAATCAAGTTTGATGCATAAATGTTTACTATTCTTATGCATACAATTGAGAAAAGTGACTGAATATTGGCTGTTTTCAGCAAATAATTAAGATGAATTAGTGAAATTGGCGGACCCGAATAGTAGTAGTAAGGATGACCTCTTGGCAAGTTTTGATTTGGTATAAATGACTACCGACATTCGAGTTCAGGCGGCTGTGCAAGGTCGAGCATTTAGCGTAGACGAGTAGCCAGAAGTTATGAAGGTGGTTAAATTAAGCAAAGGCACCCACTTAAGACTACTTAGCCTATAAATGAGTAGTATCACATGCCACGCTATTGACGATAATTTGGTAAAGAGATCTTGCTTAATTTTTCGAATTAAGTATTGTTTTCGTGACTTCCAGTAAATCAGTAATATGAGATGTATTCACCCAATTT